AAAAAATAACACACTCTTAAAAAGTAAAAAAAGCTAAAATAGACGTTTTAAAAGTAAAAAAAATGTAAAGTGTAGAGACCAAAATAAGATTTAAGTTTAAATACTATTATACTAGTCTGTTCATTTTGGTTCCTCTATTTCTAAAATATTCATTTTGATTCATATATTTTTTGATTTTGTCAATTTTAGTTCATGTATTTTTGGACATACGTTCAATTCAAGCCCTTACCTTTAAAAAAGTGACCAATTTTGGTCCCTTCACTATATATATATATATATATTTTGCCTTTTGCAAATTTCGACACGACAATACGAAAAAGAAATTTCTTGAAAAATAACAATAACTTTGTATTAAAAGATTCACGTTGGGTATAAAATTTATATTAAAATTTTGCAAATAGAAACTAAAATGATCATTTTTTAAAAGTACGAAGACCAAAATTGTCATTTTGAAAATACAAAGACTAAAATTGTCATTTTGAAAGTATATAAGTACTAAAACGAACTTGTTCATGTACAAGAACCATAATGTACATTTTGAAAGTACATCAACGATCAAAATGAACTAAAGTTAAAAAGTATATGGATCAAAATAGTATTGAAACTTAATTTGATATATGTTTTGCATGTAGCCTGCCCACTCACTCAGATGACAAAATAGCTAAACTTTTAGTTCTTGAAGTTCGAATAATTAAGGTCACTATTTGGTCCCAGAGATTTCAAAAGGGATTTTTTCAAATGGTTCCTAAACTTGTTTTTAATTCAACAACGTGTGAGAGTAGGCTATGAGGTGATCTTCTTCCTCTCTATCGCTATTGCTGCCGCCTTCCATCGGATTAACCGTTGTCTCAAACTGACTCAGAAACTATTTCGAACCATTTTGCATAACCAATATATCTATTTTACACCAAATTTAAGGACAAGTTGTGAAATTGGACGAAAAATACATTAAGCAGCAGTAAAGATAAAGAAAGCAGCAGCACCATGCTGTTCTATTACTACTGATGGATCTTCTGAAGCGCCAACCGCGGTCCCCCATCGCTTACTTTTCTGAACCTTCAAAATGAAACCGCCAACTTTCCAAAATAAAAGCCAAAACGGCCCTTCCAAAGCCATGGCCGGGGCAACAGCAGCTGCACGTGATTGAAAATTGTGTCGTTTCTAACGGCGTTTTCCCTCATATGGACCATAATAATGGACTGTTTCTGTTTAGTTTTGACTGTTAGAAAGGAGGAGAGAGAGAATTTCGATCGTTACGCTCCAAACCGTATCCGATGACTCGTTGGATACAGTCGACGAATACGGCGCTCCAACGTAAACGACACAATTTTTTCTCTTTTTGTTTTAAAACAAAATGTCATGTCTCGTCGAAAAAACAATACTTAAATATAAGAGAATGGTGCTGGCCGGTAACTAAGGATCTATTCGATAACATTACTGTTTTTTGTTTATGTTTATGAAAAAAAATGTATGTCATGGTTTAACCCTCCAAAAATTTAAATATGATAAAATAATATTTTTATTTATATTTTGGAATAAATTGGAAATGGAAAAAATTTGTTTCGATTGTTTCCAAGATTTATATACAATTGTGAGATTGTCCAAAAAAAGTAGAAACATAAAACAAAGTTAACTGTAAAATGCTTAATTTTCTTAAGAAAATTGTAGACGATAAACAAAAAATGGTAACATTACCAAACGAGTTTTTATTTTTTATTTTTTTAGCCCTAAGTATTGTTCATATATAATAAATTAGTGACTGAGCTAAATATTTGGCAACTATGTATTTTTAAAAGGAAAATATTCCTCTCCTCTCTTCCTCTCGATAGTTATTTCTATCTACTTGTAAAAAATTTAACAGAAACAAAAGAAGTTCACAGCTGTTATGCAGGTGACTATTTTGCTCTGCATACATTTAAGGTTTTTACACATATACAAAGTGTTGATCAATTTTTTCTATTACACTGTCAAAATATCGACTAAATATATAAATTTTAATATAACATATTACTTATGTTCAAATACTAATACTAAAAATTTACAAATTATTAAAAATAGGTACTTTGAAATGTTTATTTATTATTTTCTTCAAAGGTTTAGGGATGTTTCCATTTTAAAATCTTTTAAACATTGTTCATAACATTCTTCAATTATACCTCATAGGTACCAACTTGAGCAGATATAATTCAGTGAGTTAAGACACTTATGCTCGACTAAAAAGTCGTGAGTTCATGTACTCAAAGAGAAGGAAAAAAACATTATAGGTTAAATTATAATCAAAATCAAAAGTTTGGAGACATAACTATCTAACTTGAAGTTAGGAACTACTTTTTATTTAAGTTAAGGAAACTCGACAAAATTTTGGTTAGGGACTAAATTTATAATTTATTCTCTAAGGAAAATATTTAGCTCTTTTTCACTTAAAACTAATTTTGTGCTCACCACCATTAAATGTTTGACAACCAAGAGAAAGAAATGCAAAAACATAAAGTTTTTTTTTTTTTAAATAATGAGTTGTCATTTTTTAATGGTGGTGAAAAGAGCCAAATATTTTCCTTATAATAAGATCAATAATTTTAGTATCAATGACAGTGGAAAGAAAGCAAGATGAAATAGAGAGGAAGGGAGAAAAAGAGGGAGAGTGAAATTTTTTTTAGTACAACAACATAGCGAGAAATTATTTACGATGTAGCCATCAATATGATCTCATAACGCATGGTTAAAAAATATTTTGCCAATGTATGGTTAAAAAGTAGTATTTTTAATAAAAATAATAATTATATTATGACATTTATATTAAATAACATTTAAGAGTAGGATGGGAGAGAACCTAGATAGAGAAGAGATGTTCATTCAAACATAATTTAGTGGATAAAGGACCTCTAATCACATCTCTTGAATAATAATTTGAATATAGCTCAACTTTTTAAGAAACCTATCTCTGATCAATAGGAACGATGCTAATTTGAATATAGCTCAACTTTTTAAGGTACCTATCTCTGACTGAATTCGACTTCCTACTTCAAATATTGCACTAAAAAATTCACAGCCTAATTTAAGGTTAAAAAAAAGAAAGGGATTACTTTGGAAGTATTTGCCATAAAATAAAATTATGTCACCTAAGCAAATTAGTAAATAATTAAAGCTATAAATATAGAAAATAACAACCGAAACTATGTATTATTAGTAAATAATTAAAGCTGGTGCCAACTGCCAAGCCTAGCTAGCTAGGGTGATTGACTATAATCGTGTGCACATTATTTTCTATTTTTTTAAAAGTTCATTAAAGTGAAAAGAATTGGGATTATATTTCTTTTTGGACTTTATAGTTTATTTCACTTTCTCTTATGGTCTGAAATTTCCTCTTTTGCTGATATCAATTTTCCTACTCTATGAGATTTGATGAATTATGATATCTATAAAATCAAAATTTGATCACTGATTCAGTGATGCTTTTTTTCAAAAAGTAATGATTTTATTATTATTTGTAGTACAAGATTTGAACATCTGATGTCAAGAAAAAAAAATTAAGTATTTTTTACCGTCGAGAACTTATGTTAATATTTGCATGATTTTATTTGTTGTTACTTTTATATATGTTCTTTTTTGTAGAGTCTTTATTTTTTTTTTTTTTGAGTAACAAAATGGTAAGATGAGGGGGATTACCTCACACTTCAAAGAAAGTAGACATTTTAACTATTGAGTTATATTTACTCGTATCGATCCATAATTTTTTTTTTAAAATAACTATTTTAGTCTTTGATATTATATCATCACTCAAACTCAACTAACCTATATGACTAAAATATTAATACAAGTCCACTTAAGCACACTATTACATAAAACTTGTAAGCCAATATGTTCTATTTGCTTAAACGCAAAATATTAGGACAGACCTTTTTCTTAAAATTCAGATAATTAAAATAGAGACATTTTAAAAATTTTGAGAACAAAATAAGATTGGAATCCTAAAACCAAATATCGCCTTATTAATTTATATGTGGTTAAATATAAACAAAAAAACTATATATATATATATATATATATATTAAAATAGTATTATATTCTGCTTCAACAATTAAATTAACCTTCACCTTTAAAAAAAGATAATAGATACTTTATCTATTAAACTCAGATCAAAATTATCCAAGAACACAATCAAACTTTAGTAATAGAAACTTTTTTAACGTGACCTAAGGTGACCTAAGATGACGTGGTTTTCAATTTAATATTTTTTTTTTCCAAAAGTGTTTTCTATTTTCATTTGAAGAAAGTTTGCAAAGCTTGGACAATTCTATGTTGAAAAATTAGAAAATGATAATATTGTGAGAAAAATGGACAGATAAGATGGAAAGAAAAACGAGTCCTTGGTGCTCCATAAAGAATTAAAGAGTAAAAAGTTGAATGCAAATCGAAGAATATGACATGAGAGAGTTTATATATCATCTCTCTCTATCAATCGCCACGTCAACACCATGTGGATCCACCTACACATCCCTCTCCTTCTATCCTCATCCAAAAATATTATTGGAGAAGACCCAAAAAAAATCGATATATTTCAAACCAATATTTGATTGTATTAATTATAGATATAAATTTTGAATTTGTATTGCACTGTTACTTGACCATTTATAATAGACATAAATTATTATTCTTCTCGTTGCTAATTGATTTTGAGATCGAACCCATGAATATTAATATAGTATCAGAGTCCAACAAACTCAAACGATCCAACCAAAATTGAAAGAAAGATTTACAATAAATATGGAGTACTACTCTCGTTGTCTCCACGAATATTAATAAGTACAACCACATTTTATATTCAAAGATACGGGAGCGAGACTTCTCGATCATTTCAGATAGGAAAAAAATTATCGAATATAGTCATCAACAACTAACATTTGTGTTTAGTTAAAAAGTTAGTAGTAGTTAGCTCCTGTACTGAAAAGAAAAATAGATTTCAAATAAAAAACATTACTTGTTTTCTTCTTCATCTTCCAAACTGATTTAACAAATTTCAATCTACCTCTCTAAAAATATTCCTCACATTTCAATCTCCATCTTCATAAAAACATTTTCAATCTCCACCATGCTAAAAAAAAAAAAGAAAGACAAGAAGAAGAAGAAGAAAACTAATGGTTCAACTCCAATCGACGACCACACATTACACAGAGATACTTCCTCTTGATTTTGAAACACAGCGGAACAGAAAACAATCTCCATTTCCTCTCCACGTCCACCGCCTCAACTTTCCCCCCACATGACGGGCACGTGCCGCTGGCCTGCCGGCGAACCAGCTCCTCCTCCTTGCAGAATATCATTTTCCCACTCGGCCGGCGGCGGCGGCGGAAAAGTAGAAAAAAGAAAATCTCTGCCGCTTTCCTCAGGTGGAAAGGTATTTATAGACGTTTTGTCTCCGATCAGATGGGAGGATGAGATCGGAAGATCGTGGCCGTTCAAAGTTTGAGATCCTACTAGAATGTTCGAGTGGAAGATATATATATATGTATGTATGCAGACAAATTTGCCAAGCTTTTTATGTCATTTGGAAATGGAAAGATGATTGACTTTGGGTGTATGGTTTTGAGAATTGAGTACCTACCTCGATCGGAATGGGGCAAAATTTAATTCGTTAAAAAATAGTAGATTTGAATCTCTATCTCATTTATTATTGTATTAAAAAAAAAGAAAGAATTGAACATGCATATTGACTTATTATTTTATATTTATTTAATTTTTAGACTATATTTGATTGTGTAATAGATTGACGATATTGTCCTCTACGTATATTTCTTATAGTAATTAAGTTCATTCATGAATGAGCTATTGGTATTAATTACTATTTAAAATAATTCATGTGGTCTTATTGACATGATCCGATTAGGGCGTAGACATGGTATGCTGGTGTCCAAGTACTTGGTAATTGAGCTACCAAGCACAATTAGGATTGTTAGTGAGTTACATTGCATGTGTGTTCGATATAATGAAATCATACTTGACACTAGGTAAATACTAGTTTAATAACCAAGTGAAAATATAAGGTAACTAACGAGAGTTGTAATTTGTATGATTACTCAACTAAGACGAGACTTGATAAACAGGTTTATAAACCAGATGTTCGAAATATGTATGAGGTTCAATGAGACTAATTTTTAGCACTTGTATTTCACCACATTGACATATAACATGCATTCATGCAATCTGTGATCATCCAAAACTAGCGGTTGGTTCAAGATAACGTATAAAAGAAACATCTATCATTATGATTTTTTTTTTTTTTGCTTTTGAAAAAAAGGTAAAACTAACCCTGAAAACTATTTTTACTTTATTCTTTTAGAACAAAAAAGATAAAAAGGAAAAAGTAAACCAAAATTACTCCCAACATATGCCTAATTCCCATGTTTCTCACTCTATTTATAGCCAACCTAATTCTTCAAATTTACCATCTAATTACAAATATGTCTTTAATATTCTAATAATATTTTTCATATATAATACTACCTAGCATGATCTCAAAAAGTTACTTGTAGTGGCTGGCTTTTTGTATACTAGGAGAACCAATTAATTAGCTAGGAAACGAATTAGAGTTACAAGACAAAACAATAAATTTATTTCCTAATTAACATCTCTAGAAACAAGTAAAAAAAAAAAAGGTTAAAAAAAACTATTTTCTTCTCTCCACTTTCAGTCTTGGTTCATTTTGAACCTTGGGCTTATTTTAATCCATGTATCTTTAAAACGTTTGTTTTGGTCCCTGTACTTTTAATAGTTGTGATTGTTTCAGATCCGTTCATTTTACTTTTTATCTAATTTTTTAATCATAATTTCAATACGGCATCACACTCAATATCTTTTTTGAAATATAACCATAACTTTATATTAAAGGGTTCTTGTTGTGTATAGAATTAAAGTTAAAATTTTAACCTTTTGGATTAAAATGATCACTTTTTAAAAGTACATGGATACGAATCAAAGTTAAAAGTAAATAGACTAAAATGAATATTTTAAAATGTGATCAAAGCTGAGAGTAGAATGACTAAAATAATATTTTAACCAACTCGATGCAATTTCAAATGAGAATTCCCCATCTCCTAGTTTCCTATAAAAGAAAATCATTTTTGTTGAATAGCTAAATTACATTTGTGCCAATAACTAACATTGATGAATTTGAATCATATTAACATGAAAATCTAGGAAACATGAATATGAAGACACACCAAAAACCATCCATGGATGTTGCCATTAGCACATCAAGGCAACACACACTAAGGTTAGACAGCTTATCCTATGTTTGGTGTGCCACCCTCATTGCCTAGGTGGGGAGGTAAGTTATCCTTCTCAAAATAGTTACTTTTAGTTGGATGCTTGGAAAGATCGATATTCTAAATTAAATTAGAAATCCTACCTCAGAGAAGTTATCCACCTTCGACTAACCAACAAAATACATGTGAACCAAATCAACACTGTTCTTAATAGACTAGGCACATATCAAACAGATGAAGTAATAAGCATTCTCCTTTCTGTACGTAATAAAGTGCTTAAGATGATTGATGAGGTGTACTTTTAGTCTTCTATACTTGAAATTAGCATTTTGCCTAACATGTAGACATCATGTAATATTTGGCCAACACCACATCGATCGGTACTCTACTATACTTCCAACACACGTAGAAGTGAAAGTACTCTAAGAAAAATAATACAAAGGTTGTCAACGTCCTTTTAGGCCATCTTGTGATAGGTTAGAAATCCACACAAGAAGCGGACCAATCAATTACGCGAGTCATTCTCTTGGTAGATGCAAGTTAATAGATTTTCTCAAACTGAGTAAGATGCATCAATAATTTTTCCGCTAAACTTTCATTTTTATTAAGTTAGCACCTCAAAATTTGGTAAGTGTGATATATTTTTTTTACCTAAAACTTAAATAAGTATTGCAGCATTTACTCACTAAAAAAATTTCATTTAAAAATTCGTAAACCAAAAATTATTCTGATATGCATTTAATTAATATAAGACATATGTTTGGTACCGAATTAATGAAGTTAAAAAAATATATATATTATAGCTAGATTTTTGTTGAATATTTTTACATTATTATTATTTTATGTTAAAATTATTTTACGAGGGTGGGAAATCGAGTTCACGATGTGTTGATTGAAGATATATATCAATTATTGTTAAATTATGCTTGTTTTGGTATCTATTAATTTTATAATATTTTTTCCTTACCAGATTCATTGTACACAAAATGTTGGAAATTGTATTCACATGATTACAATTTACAATTTCCTAGGTATACGTAAGATAAAAGTAGCCCTATCTCCAATATCCAACTTATAAAATCCTATTGAACATAAATTAGGAAATACATCTATATGTACTTTTTTCCCACAATTTTTTTTATCCCTATATTCAATGACCGACTAAATTTTAAGTTCTAAAACTCAAACTTTTAACGGGTTAAATTATATATTATCAATGAAAAGGTTAAAAGTTTGAATCCTAGTCTCGTATGTTGTTGAAAAAAGAAAAAAAAAACTCAAACTCAAGCGACATTTATTGGACAAAATTTGTTTCGAAAATTAAAATTAGAATTTAACTTTTCAAGTAAATTATTCAGTTTTAAAGAGTTTTTAGGAAAAAAAGTAATAGTTTTTCTTTTAGAGTAAGTTTATGTTTTTTTAATAATAAAATTTAATTGAAGAAGGAAAAAAGACCATTTTAATATTAATTTGGTTTTCAAGAGGACTATTTTGGTATCATTTTTTATATGTTTTTTCAATTAAATTTTATTATTCCGAAAATTTTGGAAAAAAAAAAGTTTTAATAATCTGTTTTTTCAAGAGGTATAATCTTGGGATAATAACAAATATGGCTATTTAAAATGAGTCATTTCAAAAAATGGCCAAACAAATTTTAGTTTTGAAAGATGGCCAATGTAAAAATAGGAAAATCTCTAAGATACGAAATTACCCTTCCATGATTTTTAAATGAATATATTATTTGTCACCTCCACAGTTGTCTCACTTGCTTAATTCCGTCCATTCCCTCAATTCCTGTCCATTCCTGTTGTCTCCCTCGCGATACCCCTTGATCTTATCTCACTTTGTGTGTTGTCCTCCCTGAGTCATGGTATGTTATAGTCAAATATATATTTAAAAGGTGGGATAGATGATTTCTAAAATCTAGGAGAGAAAATATAGGAAGAAAGATAATATAACAAGAAACAGATTTGAGAACGTGAGGGAGGGTATTATTTTGATTTTGAAAATAATAATAGAAAGGGTAAGATAGTCAAAATCAAATCTCTAAAACAATTCGAAAAATCAAAATTGACATTTTTTATTAACAAAATCTATCTGACCATTTTTCAAAACCAAGTAATAAATAGAGAATCCAAAATTTGATCTATGAGTTTTGGACAGAGCCTATCCCAAACAATATCTTAGGCCCATTGGTTTGGACCTACTGTTTTGGGCTAGTTCGAAGTCAGATAAGATATTTGTCTGGGAATGAGATTGGTAAAATATGATTTTGTTTTGGGAATGAGATTGGTACATTTGGTTGGTAATTTAAAAACAACATATTCAATAGAAAATATAACATTATTTATGTTTTTAGCATTTTCAACCCTATTTTTTTTAACAGATTTAAGAATTGAATCTCAAATTAAAAAATGCTAAGTATTTGGTATTATAGTTATAAATGAGTGGTAGGTACAACTAATTAATAATATTAATTAATTTATTAACATATATGTTATAAAATTTGTAAAATTATTATTTTACAATATTATATAATTTATAATATATCATATTATACTTGTTTTATATTTATCAAAGTTTTTAACTGTTTTTTTAAACAAAAATCTAATTATGCATCTTAAAGTTTAAATTTCAAACCTGAAAATATTGAAAATATAAAAAATGAAGTTTTCAAAATTTTCACTATTTGATCATAAAATTTGAAAAAAAAATATTAAAAACATGTCAAACATATATTCATTAATTCATTTGATTTTAGTGTATATAAAAACAATAAACAAAATTTGTTCATGTCAATTTCTAGGTGCACCCCATTGGTGCACATATACCTTGGTCTCCAAGCTCTTCCTGCCTGCATAAAAAACCTAATACTAGCGTGGTGCTTTGCCAAATGTACTTTGATGATTAACTTAGAGCTTAAGTTGGAAGCAAATAGGTATGGAGCAAAAAGAGTAGGAGGGCAGGTGTGCTCAGCCTTGTAGTTGGTGTGCTTGAAATTGGCCCGACCACTCAGTCTCTTATGGTTCTTTCTTAGACACAGTCCATGTGGTTGGACTTCGACGTGTGGCACCGTGATTTTACTTGATAACATAATTCATATTGCCTACTAAACTTTCATTATTTTACCTATTTTTAATTATAAAAATTAAACTCTAAAATTTTAAT